TCGTCAAGGCCCATATAGTACTCACGTTTTGATTAGGACAGCAGGCTTGCGGTGCGAATATTACCGTCCATCGCCCTCTTTCTTGTCTATTATTACAGCCACGATTCGGTCGCTAATTTTTTTTTTGCCGTCGAATAAGAGCTTTTGATGCACTACAACACTGTACGACCACATCATTTCGTTTGTTGTCTTCTCCGCTATAGTATATAGATCTATTTCTGAAGGTCCCTCGTGAAAGTATTCAAGAAGGGATACAGAGTCCCTCATCTTTGCCACAAACTCAACTAGCATTGACAGTCTTCGTCAGTTGTGCACGGATCTATGTCATAAATCGTGTTAAAGCACTTCACCCTTTTGAGATTCACTCTCTCTCGTGAATTTTTTGCGAATGAAAATTTCATTGAATACTGGTTGTTACGGTTGCAGTCGCACACTACGGCTGTCCACGCATTCCACTAGGATAGAACTGTACAACCGTGTAGGTTGCCAGGTCAAACGGTACAATATTGGAAGCACGGTTTACGATATGAATGGTTTCCAAGATTCCCCTGTAGTATGAATTTGAGTTCCTACCTTTACAACGTACCTGCACTTATTAGGTCGGAAAAAAGTTCTGGATAGGATGGAAGGGAGCCAGAGATTGTATCGTATGAATACCCCACCTCCCATTAGGCTCCAGTGTATAAACCTTTGAATCAAGTTGCCGGGCACCAGGGTTCGCACTCGAGCAACTTTGGTGTAAAATCATTCGGCTGATCGTTTTTATACCGTATACTCTTGGACTGTGCTCTTGTTTCTTTGCTGCTACTTGTGAATAGTATTGTTTTGAATTCCTGTTCTGTTAGAGTAACAGTAAATAAGAGAGCAGCGCAGAACAAAACCACCTATGCCAGGATCATCAGCTGGTTGGCAAACATTTTCAAATTTTATTGACTTACTATACTCAAAGTACAGTACCAAACACTCCTTGCGTGCAGCTTTAGTTGTCACAATCTTGTTTCCCTCAACTTTTTACTCTCTTGGAGCCTTATATCTATCTAAATACTCCACTTTTTCTTCGTTACCTTTGCCTTCTTTTGGACTGTTAGTTTCACAGCTTGCTGAAAACGGGCAACCGCAAAATTGTCGTGAATTGTGCCTTCAATGCATTGTTCCTAGTGATACAGCTGTTTTTGTGATTCTTCGTGCATACATTTGTCGTACAGAGCAGCTTGTTCCCTCTCTTCGATCGAATTGTCCTCTTTCATGTATTTTGGGCGACAAAATATCTATTTTTGATCGGGATCAAATTATGTGATCAAGTTATTATTGCAGATTGCTCCATCTTCTGACCAAATCATCGAAGTGGTTAGTATTCTGCTGCTGTGACATCAAATTGGATCCAAGTACGTTGATTATCGGACCGCTACCTGAAATAATGATGTGAATTTTTTTTCAATGGGACAAAACAAAACTTGAACAAAAATCATTTTATGGGCAGTTATGGCAGATGCACACCTATTATAGACAAAGTAATGGGGAGTAAACTTGGAAGCGTGTGGGTGGTGTAGTTCTGCTGCAATGCTTGTCTTTCTCTGAGCTCACGTTTGAAATTTGTGCATCGGTAAAGCAGCTCTAGCTAGATCTTATAATGAATTCGACTAAACGATGGAGGAGTTGCAAATTTGTCAATTCGAAATTTGTCATTTCTCATCGTACTGAGACGAAATAACAGCAGTTAATAGTACATCAAGTCGAAACAAATACTAACGTAAAAAGCTTGCAGCCTAAGGATTCGATGCTGTTGACAGCCGACCAGCTCAACACGTTGCACGTGTGAGTGCTGATAAGCTATGGCATATAAGCATTGAGAAATTCAGAGCAGCGAGGGCAATTCGGGCTAGGTAGTGGCGTAAGGGATAAAGAGCACAGTGCCCGGAAAGCACAACTAGTTCAAGTCTCGTCCGAGGCAGAAGTTCCACACTTGAATCGTCAATTTTGTGAGACTTTCGCAGCGTGTATTGCCGTGATATAACAGCAGTTATGGAAACATTAAAACGTAAAACAAATTTTGATTGCCGTACCGCCGATGAATGATCCCGGGTGGTGGCGAGGCTACGTGGTGCTACCCTAAGTGGTAGATAGGGGAGTAAAGAACTCTACAAAAGTCAGGGGTACGAGTCTACGAGCAGCATCAACGAAGATCATTCAACGTGCTTGAGAACGCAAGATGCTCTGAGTTCCACTTTACATGCAAATATAGAAGAGAATCCCACGTTCCAAGTTTCTCAACGAACGAAGATCCGAGGACGCCTTTGATTATGCCAAGAAATAGAAAACAGCTTATGTCAGCTGGACGCACACGTTATGTGATATATTGAGAGCGTTAGAAGAAAGTTTTAGGACCTCTAGCGAACACCTGACGGTCGCCAGCCGGTCAGACTTTTCAAGAGACCTTTGAACGAGAGGAATGCTATGATATAATGAAATAACATCGTTTTCTTTGTTCAAGGACGCTCTACTGAAATGCTTCAGCTTGCAGAGGGACGAGTGGAAACATTTCTGAGACCTGCTTAAGAGATCGATGGTCAATGGGCAACAGAGACACAGGCAATGATTGCCATATAAAATGTTATACAAGAGCAGGTCGTCCATCGATCATCACTACAGAAATATTGTATCATCTTTAAGGGCAATTCAATGACGGAAGCCTAATGCTGGTCTGGAAAATTTTGAGGGTTTTATTCCATTCAACTGCGTGACAAAGCAATACTAAGGGGAGTTAACAATTCTTTCGTCATAACCCTACAACCATACCTCTTGACGTGACTTCATTTCTGGATGAGGATAAACATCCGAATAGAACGCGTGTAGTATTTGGATATCTGCAGACGATTAAAATCGACTGTATCAATTCTAACGCTGACGTAACCTGCAACCTTTGAAACAAGATAGCAAGAGTCATTTTGGACAGAACTCCAAACTGACCGCGGTAGTCGATATAAACGACACGAGGTAATTTGGTTCTGTTTCGCAGCGATTCGAATCGAACCTATTGCCAATATGCAGAAATATTACCACCATATCGACAAGCGAAATCATGGTATCGAAAGCGATCATTGGCAAAAAAACTCTGGAATAATTTCTCTTTGAAAGTCGATATTTCTATTCCTCCTTATCCTTAACAGAAATTCATGTAGGAGCTCAGTTTTTGTAGTAGTGGGTTACGAGAAAAAGGTCGTGATGCAATACAAGCTACAAGGCACTCATCAGAACTACACTGAGTCACTCACACCTTTTGCTTGAAAACACAGTCCACGATATTTTGAGGTTCCCTTTTCAGTTTGGAAAGCGGAAGTGTTGATGTAGAGGAGTAGATTGGTGGCGAAGAATGCGAGAAAATCCGCCTACTTCAAGCTTTTTCAAATTAGTGGAAGTAGAACTTGTACGAGTTCACCGCGACAGGAATAACATTTACGGGGTTTTGAACAGGATTTAACCTGCGCCCATCGTGCAAAGAGCTGACTACATCAAACCATAACTGTCCAGGATTGCATTTCATTGTCGCTATGGGTCATGACAAGTTGTTTTAACTTCCTACAATGGTTCTCTTATGAATGGTGCAGCCTCTACAAAGCCGTTTAAACTCGTCCACTAGAGGTGTGGCATACACTCGATAAAATCTCTGGTTCCTTGTTGTATCATATCCAGGACGTTTTCCGCCTTTATAACGACAGGTGTGATATAAGGGTTAGCTCGAATTCATACTATGGAAGAATCTCAAAAACCATTTTTATCGTAAACTGTGCCTTTAAAGTTCGAGCTGAAAGGTACTAGGCTGATAGTTTATACTCAGCGAAATTGCTAATTGCATCGACCTATTCACCCAGAGAGTTGTTGAAAGAAGGTTCGTCTCTTCATAGAAAATCAAACCTCCGAATTAGGTCTCACTTTTATCTCTGGTTATTGTATGTGTATATGGAGAAATTAGAGACTTCTGACATACCGTAATGCCCGGATGTTCTCAGCAAGTTGATATCTGATCGATAAGGAAACGCCAACGCCAGTGTATTTTTTTGTGAGCCGCCTGTTTATATATAGAAGAACAATGACACCCTAGAATATTCTGTTGAAGATCATGTACTCCGATCCCGCTGGTCTTCTTGCTCTTCTGTTTTCGCCGATGATTTGCCTCTACGCTCTCTACGCTGGAGTCCTATCTAGCAGCGCATATGGACTGGGTGGCCGAATTGAGCGCTTACGGACCGGATCCTCAGTCGTTTGATGAGCTCAAATAGATAAGGCTAAAGACCGTCCGGTTTGCTATTGAACTCACCGCAAATTGAATGGTATAATACGCAATGACACCAATTGTGTATCCATCAGCATTTGGTGCTAAAAAGGTCTTCTTTGTTACATGGTGCATCGTCTTACGAACGAAATAATTTGCACTTTTCATGAAGTAGTAGTAATTCAGTAATGCAATCGATCAATTTATAAACTTGATTGTTATGAACTGAGTAGTGGAGTACCTGCTAACGAATGGTCCGCCACCTAATTACACTGTTTAACAGTGGCTTATCATGGGTGATTTTGCCGTCAAGATCGCCTCGGCTGTTCTGTTCAAAAACTGTGAACAGAAGTAAACTACTGAGAGGTTCACATCGGAAGGATTGACACGGAATGAATGGGATAAAAATCCATCAAAAATTTTCATGACGTTCTGTACCTTCTACAGTGTCTTCAAACATTTGGAAGTCACTCACTGAAAATTCTCATGTCCATCTAAGGATGATCCACATCATCTCCATTTAAGGGTACAAGAAAAAAATTTGCCTCTCGACTTTGAAAACATGTTGCTCGCGAGCGCACTAGAGAAGGACTGTAGATTTGATAGCAGGGAACATAGCTGACAGATCAATACTACCTAATCGGTATTCGGCGTGGTCGTTCGAAGTTCGAACAATCGTCGATTGAACGATATGCCATCGATACGACTACCGGAGCCTTCTAAATCTCTATTACGAAACTAATCAGTTCGATGGTCACACTTGGAATAAGATATGATGACTGATAGGCAACAGTGACTCTCTCTTATCGCCTACCATAAATGGCATGATTGCTTCCCCTGAGAAAAGATTTGCTGCGACTAAGTTTGCCGAAGCGAACGTCCACTGTCCTCAAATATCGACACTTTCTGTTCTCCCGTCAGAGCAATCCTTCTCAAAATCTCGGGGGATGGAAGAGGCTATCTCTATTCCCTGTTCTACTATTCACGGCGTTCTATGCAAAAATCGCTTTCAAAAATCGCTTTCAAGGCGGGACACTTTGCAAATATCGCACACTCCTTGACTGAGCAGGAGCTCGAGTGTGCGACAGTTGTGTCAGAGGCTACTCAACTGTAAGCGAACGAATCAAGCGACTCTGCTATTGCTCACGATGAAAAGTAGATGTTATATGAAAATTCACCCGGGAAATAGCAAGGTCTACCAGCGGGCTTAAGGTAACAGCCCACTACAAAGCGAGGCGCTCTCGCCGACACAGACATGAGTTCAATCTTCCTCTGCTCAACCGAGTGTTTTACTGGGAATCCTACCATAGTGAATTGCGGTAAACGCGGAAGTATTCTGTTACCGATTGCGAGGGATGGTATTTCGAGCTCTCACTTCACACCGATTACAAGGAAATTTTCTGTTGTGATGGATAATGCTCGACCGCCTCGCGCGAGGACCTCGGTGGATGAGCTGGAAAGACTTGGTACAACTGACTATCCCGATCTCCACTTATTCACCTGACCTTATCCCATATGACTGCCATACTTTCAGAAGCGCATAAGCCTGCAGCGGGAAAATTTATTAACTGTCGAGATGTCAAATAGGTGGTAGATGTGGATGAATTTCTTCACGGCTCTCTTCATATTGGAGGAATGACATCAATGCCCTGTCCGGTTGATGGAGAGACACTATGGCTAAGAAGGACCACTATCTTGGTAACTGATATAAGAGTTCATTGCTGCAGTTGTTTTGTGTCAAAAAAAAATCGGCCGAATTTTTAAAATTTTTCCAGATACCCTAATACTGATAATTAATAATCCAACGTCAATATTTTGATAATTTCCAACTGAATGAGAAAAGGCATACTTCTCTTGATGTAATTGCTCAAGAATGCAACTCCAACACAGAACGGTTGTGACAGCGCTAGAAGGAACCATTTCCGATTTTTCTCGTAGGATTGAAAGCATAGCGTGGCAGTGAGTCGTTCTACCAAGCAACATGTTTCCAATGGCATAATCATCTCGTAGAAACAATCATACAATGTTGAGAACACCGTCGCCACAAGTTGATCGTTATCGTAAAAGAAATATAGGATTCTGAGAGCGTTTCCACTGATTTCGCATAATGCAAAAGACAATATCACTTCAGTGAAAAGAAATCTGAAATTGTACATCATTCGTCCTTTATAGTGAGTATAACGTTCTGAACACCCTATTTTCGGCCCTACAGCCTACAAAGAACCAAAGTGGGGCCTTTATGAGACCAATCTCCATACCTGTCACTGTACTAAAGGCAAAGTTGACGATGATTTTGGGTTATTTAATATTAAACGAATAATGGAAGTGATAGTTAAGAGCACTGCGTAAGTGGCGAAGAAGACGCGAAGATCTGCATGTGGATAATGCAACCTCTACAGCTTCATTGATGTAAATAAAGCTTCAAAAAACCTCAGCCAAGATATTACTTGGCTTAGGTTTCGAAAGACCACCTCCACAGTTAGAATTTGGTATGAGTACTACAGTTACAATTTGGTATGACTACGGGAGGCAGAATGGGAACGCTGAACGTAGGTGGCAAGTCTAGACTGACCTACAGGAGGCGGGATTACGCGAAAATTAGTGTTCAAGGGGAAATTCGTGACTCCTGTTGTCGTGAATTCAGAGCGTTAAAACTTGTTAGGGATAAGAACACAGAGACCAACTCAATCTGCGAACGTAAAGAAAGTGGAAATTGGAAATGTTTACAGGCCAATGTAAGTTCACAGCAAGTGCAAGATCCGAACATTAGTGAACGATTTTTTTCACTTAATTTCGATTGTTATCCTGTCCTTTCAGGGCAAACAAAAATTAGTTTCAGTACTTCACCAGATGATATTCCGAAAATGTAGTAGCAGTTACATTTTTCAATTTAGCAGGGTGTCTAGCTGTATGGTTAATCACTTCTCGACAGTGAATATGCTCAGAAAGCAATGCATTGGCTTGAAGGCACAGCCCACGATAGGATGATTTTTTAGATTTCTCTTTAGGATTACCCAGTGGAACCCAGGGGTAACAGGAAGGACGCTGTTAGGCCCAAAAACTCAACACTCAGAGCACAATGGGAGCTCCATTAACGGGTCGGCCGGATGCCACGCCCATCTACCGATGATGTGTAGGACGAGTATCGAGACCACACAGGTTGCAATACGAGCGGCAGGACCCACATGTTTAGCACGCAGTCAGCTGATCGTCGAATGATCTGGCTCAGGAGGGAGACGACAAACTAATCCACCCTTTACATTTTGCGTCAAGAGGGTTATCTCGAGCCGAAAAGAACTACCACATTACAGATCAGGAAGCGCTTGGCGTGATGTTCGCAGTGAAAAAGTTCCACTACTTCATTTACGGAGTGCATACCATTGTAAGAAGAGATCATAGCGCCTTGACTTCGCTATTCAAGCGTGCTAACGTCTCACCGAGGGTACTGAGTTGGGCCCTAGAGCTTCAACGATACGATCTGGAAATCGAGTACGTAGAAGGCGCGGCGAATAACGTGGCAGATGCCCTTTCAAGAGGGACGTTATCAGAACATGACATGGGTATAGCTAAACATGCCGAAGAGAAGGTAGTGGCACTCGTAAGAGACTCTGACTGGCTCCAGAACTGAGAAATGACCAAGATTTCAAGTTGATAATTGAGTCAATAGAGGCGCGTAAGGAAGATGACATCCCAATTAGGCACCACGGTAGAAAGTTGACTTCAGCTGATTTTGAAATCAGTGATGGAAGACTACGTCTTATTCGGGAAAACGGCTCTAGAGTGAACGTCATACCCCGGAACAAAAGACGCGAACTTTTTACAGAAGTGCACCATGGAACTATGGGTGGGCATTTCAATGCTAGGAAAATGTCATCTCAGCTTGAAAAAGCAGCGTATTGGCTAGGGATGAAACAGGACGTTGCAAAATGGTCCCAAGAATGCCAAAAGTGCTTTGTGCATAACACACATAGGGTCAATACTCCTTCGCTGAAGCCGGTTGTAGTTTCCAGGCCGTTTGAAATAGTTGGTATTGACTTGCTCGAGATGGGCTTATCAAGCCGCGGGAACAGATACATAGTCACGATAATAGACCATTTCACAAAATATCTCGGGGCCTATCCAGTGCCAGACAAAAGAACAGGAACCGTGGCAGAAGTTCTTTTCAGCCACTGGATTTGCGGCGCAGGAAGATGGCCAGAAACAGTACTCTCAGATCGAGGAACTGAATTCGAGAACTCTGTCGTTAGCGCTTTATGTGAAATAATGGGCATTAAGCAACAGTTCACCAAGGGTTATTGCCTCAGAGAAAATGGAATAACCGAGAGGGTAAACGGAACCATTGTCCGCATGTTGAAGAAATCATAGAAAGAGCATTTTATTGGAAATGATCACCGGAGTCTGAACATTATTACAACAGCTATCCATGATTCTTCTCTTTAGACAGATTTTTAGCAAATTTGGTGAGAGGCCACTGATTTCTGCTTCGGGAGAGGGAAAAATCGAATCAAAGTACTTGTTGAACTCCGACATACGTGAAAAACGGATGAAACGATCGTCGATGTCGTGACTGAACATACAGAGCGATACAGAACATGAGAATAATCAATGTGTAGACAGTAAACATATAAGCCAGAATTCCAATCGTCCATGATGACGAACATCCGTTATGAGCGGGCTTCATCTTTCGTACTCACAGCTCCAGCCGCTACTCACATCGTACTCGTGACCTCACAACCGTCTCTCTAGGTGCAGTAGACGTAGGAAGTTTTAGAGAACTGACCGAATTTCGTAAGTGGAAAGGTGTAATAATGCAGTAGCAACCCAATGGGATAGCAAGCGAATAGCAGGTGAGGGGAGAAGGTTCGATTGCCTAGGCACGTATTCCCACAAATAAATTGCTCTACGCACATTTTCAAAGTTCATGGGAGTGAGAGAGTTTCTCAAAGGCTGGGTACAATAAGTAAAGTGCAACAAGTTCAAGGCAGTGGAGCATAAAGACGACAATAAGCAGACACCTCAGATGAAGAAAATAACCATACAAGCTCAAAATGACTCGCCTCACCTCTTCACCAGACGAACCACCGTCTCCACTTTCCTCTGAGGCTCATCAGTTGTTTGGGGTTAGTGGAAAAAGGAATGGGTAAATGGATTGTTTGAATCAAGGACAGGAATGAATATGTTGTCATACTATAATAAATACACATTGGAAATGCTGTTGCTGTTTCAGAGTTCCATTAACTAAATAGATGATTCTATTGGAATTATTTTCAATAGAAAACTAGTAACATCTAAATTTATCTCCACATATGCACCTAATATACTGGTAATTACGAATTCTCCTTTGTAGCCTATTTTTAATAGAATTTCATGAATTTCGACTTTGTGGTGAATGTTTATTAGAAAGTGTATTAGCAGTTTTCAGTGCTTCTGTAAATATAACAGAGGCTTTATTGGTGTTAACAATGTTATAATAGTATCACAGTGAGGAAATCTGACGACATCGAAGCTGAAATCATCAGCTTTGTTATGTAGTTTGGTAATGATCTTATCATTAGTTATATATTGTAATATTAATATTCAAGTCTAAATAATTACTATCTCTCTTACTTGAATGTGTTTAATTGAGTTCAAGTGTATTTTTATATATTATATCAAAGAAAATTGATCTTCAATATCTGACTCGGTCTGGCTATGTACTACTAACAAATCGTCCGTTTATCTGAATGGAAGCTTACTTTTATCGAATCCACGACCTTTCGAATAATCATATTACATAATGGAAAGAGTCAGATCCGCCAGGAGGGGATTGAATTTGCTTTCTTGTCGCACACCTTCGACCTGTTTATAAAAGTTATTTCTAAAAACACAACTTATAATAACAATAGTTTGTTTGGATAACTGTGCTATATGTATAGAAAACGTGGTACCCATTAGTTACTATCATATTCTTGTTATCATTACCGAAGCAAATTTCAAGTAGTTTTAACATTTTATTAAGGAGAGTGTGCTTTGGACTTGTATACGTATCAGTAAAATGGGCAGTGTATAGCTTGAGATTGGCATAGGTGAAAGAAAAGAACTAGGAAAAGAGAAGAACCAAGTCATTACTGATATTGATATTACTTATAAACCAGAATCTTTTGATGTTCTGTTTTTATTTTGTATTACTCTAACGTGATTGATAAAGTGTTCATTTATAGAGCTGAATACAGTGGGTAACGTTCAAGCTGAAGGTTTAATACTGCTGTTATGAGCACCGAAGATAAATCCAATTTTACAGGATCCTTATGTATGTAACTTCGGAAGAGGATACATAATTGGAAGATTAGCCTGCGGAGCCCTTGAGCTTACTACGAACACAAAGAAATTTGTTTTTAAGTATCAATGAATATTTATTATGGCATTGAATAAGTTCGTAAGTGTTATTAGTAATTTTATTGACATATGTTTTATTAATTGCATTATATTGGATGCCCATTGCTTTCATTTTAATGCTCGAATAAAGTTTTTACAAGCTGTACCGTGATTATTCCTGCTTTTAAGTTTATTATTCTTCGCAACATGGGGTCTGGCAAGTTTGTGGTGGAACAGCACCTCATGATATTTTCTTGCGATTAACGGCCGCTCTTAGGTGAGAGCATCCTACAAACTGTCGAGTTGGTGTTCGTAGCGGTCAGCAGTAACATTTTCGTTCGGGCTCAGCAGCTCATTGAATACAACACCCTTTTGATCCCACCACCAAATGCACACACAGCATTACTTTTTGGCAAGAGACATTCTCCTTTCGTTGCAAACTCTCGAGCGAAGAGAAACCATCTCTGCATATTCGTTCGGATGAAGCTTGTCCTCAATCAGTATAGAAAAGCATCCGGTGGGCTTCAATGCCAGTTTTCTTGAAATCAACAGCAGGAGAAGGGCCCCACGGGAAAACGGTTCATCACGTTCCATGACCAATCAGTCTGAGAGCAACGAGATTTTGGAGGAAAAACTGATCTGTCTGCCCTTGAATAAGTAGCCAATACCTCATCTTACAGAATTGACAGGTTTCACCGGTAAACCTCTAACATAGTTCGCGCACCAACTCTTCGAATCGGCGGAAATTAATGTATACACCTAATATTTCTCAAGAAAGCCATTATTGCATTCACAACCGTTTTCGAGTGCATATTCATGTTTTTCATAGTCTAGATTTCTTAAGACCTCATTGTAGTTGCATATTCTAGCCGATAAGGTATTATCGCACTTACATGTATATGACTCTTATTACAGTGTACTCATTAGCTTGGCTATTGTTACTTAACAAAATGTCTCTATTGAAGCACGAACCAAAGATTCTATTGAAAGGTATTCCACTGAAAATTTGCGATCACAATTAACTACTACATTGTGAAATTTTTTATCCACTTTTTTGTTTGCCTTATTATACGCTGAAAATGTGCTAGCAGGCAGAATATTAAAAATATTGACTTATCCTCGACTGTTTTTAGGAGTCTCGGGGATTGAGAAATTCAAAAAAAATTGCTTTGCGTGAGTCATCATTGTTAGCTGCTTCATCCAGAATTTTATCACAGCTTGGTCTTTTCTTCTATATTTATTTTTTCTTCTGCGTGATCCCCTTTGCTTCTCTTTTTAGTAATTTAAGGGAGAAAAAGGAAGATTACTCTTGACCAACAGAGGGTTATCAATATTATACTATATCAGTGCTTATATATCTATGTATCTTATACTTATATCAATATATAGTTGCTGTCATTAGACCCAAACGGGTACGCTGTAATCAGGAGTTTAATCCAAAACACTGTCCAACAGGGTTGTTTTATCATTAGACAACATAGAATCCAATACTGTGTTTTATGCCTTTGTCACATTCAAAGAAATGGTTGTATAGCGATGTATGCAAATTGTGAGTTAATATATTGCTAATATGTTCTTCAATTGTCATAGAGGGTCAGTGTCCTCGCCGTGTGTGGTGACTTTTCCTGCCTTCTCCG